GAGAGAGACACGGGGAGGAGGAGGAGACACGGGGAGGAGACACAGGGAGGAGAGACACGGGGAGGAGGAGACACGGGGAGGGGACACGGAGTGGAGGGGGAGGAGGAGACACGGGGAGGTGGAAGTGGAGGAGTGGGGGGGGATGCGGAAGTGGAGGATGCCAGTGGTCAGAGTGAGAGCAAAGTCGTGGCTGGGCGATTTCCCTTCCGCTGCCCGACTGTTGGAACTTTGGGCAGGAAAACGGCCGAGGGCTGTGACCCCCACGGCCTCTCTGCACCGCGATGAGGACGCGACCCGGGAGCCAACGTTGGACCAACGTTGCATTAACTTTGGCCCAATGCTCCCAATCACTTGCCAATGTTGGTCTAACGTTGGACCTACGTTGGCCCAATGCCTCCTGTCACTTGCCAATGTTTGTCTAACGTTGGACCAACGTTGGACCAATGCTTCCAATCACTTGCCAAGGTTGGTCTAACGTTGGTCCAACGTTAGACCAACATTGGCAAGTGACAGGAAGCATTGGTCCAACGTTCGTCCAACGTTAGACCAACCTTGGCAAGTGATTGGAAGCATTGGTCCAACGTTGGTCCAAAGTTAGACAAACATTGGCAAGTGACAGGAAGCATTGGTCCAACGTTGGTCCAACGTTAGACCAACCTTGGCAAGTGATTGGAAGCATTGGTCCAACGTTCGTCCAACGTTAGACAAACATTGGCAAGTGACAGGAGGCATTGGGCCAACGTAGGTCCAACGTTAGACCAACATTGGCAAGTGATTGGGAGCATTGGGCCAAAGTTAATGCAACGTTGGTCCAACGTTGGCTCCCGGGTCGCGTCCTCATCGCGGTGCAGAGAGGCCGTGGGGGTCACAGCCCTCGGCCGTTTTCCTGCCCAAAGTTCCCACAGTCGGGCAGCGGAAGGGAAATCGCCCAGCCACGACTTTGCTCTCACTCTGACCACTGACATCCTCCACTTCCGCATCCCCCCCCCACTCCTCCACTTCCACCTCCCCGTGTCTCCTCCCTCCACTCCGTGTCCCCTCCCCGTGTCTCCTCCTCCCCGTGTCTCTCCTCCCTGTGTCTCCTCCCCGTGTCTCCTCCTCCTCCCCGTGTCTCTTTCCTCCCTGTGTCTCCTCCCCGTGTCTCCTCCTCCTCCCCGTGTCTCTCTCCTCCCTGTGTCTCCTCCCCGTGTCTCCTCCTCCTCCCCGTGTCTCCTCCCCGTATCTCTTCCTCCTCCCCGTATCTTTTCCTCCTCCCCGTGTCTCCTTTTTTCCATGTCTGTCTCCTCCCCGTGTCTCTCACCTCCCCGCGTCTCCCCCTCTTCTCGCTTGAACAATTATTAAGTGTGCAATTATGTCAGGTCTTGGGATTCAGATCTCACCGCACGATACAGTTCGTCATAACGACAATGATGCACAAATGTAGGAAAGAAGCACTCGGAACTTGTTTTTAATCTAAGCAACTTTAATCTCACTTACTCTAGCATGAACCTTTTATCATCAGGAACTAATAGCAACGACAGTACCTATGCAAATATGTAGTGCTCGACTTGACACGACAATCCTCCAGCTAACACCGATCAACATTCCTCCTCCGCGCTCTCCGCTCGCTCGCCGCGTTCCGCCGGCCTCGCTCGCTCCGCGTCTCTCCGTCGACTTTCCTCTCCACTCTCCCCGTCACAGTTCAGCCGCTCTTTATCGACTCTCCCGTCACATTCAGCCGTATCTCTATCAGCTTCTCCGCCACACCCCAGCCGCTTCTGCTGGCATCTCAGTTGCTACCTTATACCTAACCACTGCTACCCTACACTTCTCCACTGCTACCCTATACTTCTCCACTGCTACCCTACACTTCTCCACTGCTTCTGGCTCCGCTGCTTCAACTCCAACATCCTCCGTCTCCTCCCAGGCGCGAACTCCCGTCTGCTCCAAAACCCCCTCTCTTTATCCCCCAGCCAATTAATCTGAGGCATCCCCCACGACGCCACTCGCCCCGCTGGCACCTGCCATGTTTTTCCAGACAATGCGGCGCCACTTAGCGACAACAACAACTTCTCGGCCAATCAGCGCCCTGCGTCCTTAATCACCCCTTACCACCTGCTACTGTCCTTAGACAGCGCGTCACCACCTTTGGACAACAACTCCAAGCCAATCAGCGCCCTGTGTCCTTAGTTGCCCCCTACTCGTCTCTGACTTCCCTACGCCTAACGACAATAACACCCTCGACCTCGTTTTCTCCCACTGTACTTCGTGCGTGCATACACCCACTCTCGCGTGTGGCGCGTATTTTCAGGCACTACAAATATACGTGCTCATCAATCCGTATTCAATAACAAAAAACAAATATTGGCTAATATTCACCATCATGTGATGAAAAAGAAAGCGATAGGCAGACTCGATAATAGCAATATTCGTACGGAATGCGTGTCCAAAAACTACGCATATCAAATGGTCAGAAGCATCAACAATCGGATCTCACGATCACGTTATCAAATAATACTTCCAGGCTAACCCACAACAACAGTATCAATGTCAGCATATGTGTTCAAAAAAATATCCTTGTCAAATGTTTAGAGGAATCAACGATCAGATTTGCAAGATTATGTGATTAAAATAATAAAAAACAGCTCATTGAAAAATCATCGTATTCATGCAGGCATATGGGTTCATAAATTGAATGCTTATAAAATGTTTAGAAGAACATCAACAATCGAATTAGTAATATGTGATTAAAATAAAACAACAGCTACTATCTCAACGATAGTATTCATCCCGATACCGTGGATTTGTGTATCACGGTGGCAATCATTATACACGGTCCACCAGTTATGATGTAAAGTGCGATACGAGTTAGTTCCCGTGCGATCCTTGCACGAGGTGGCGTCACCACCTGTGAACTGTGTGGCCACGTGAAGGATGCGTGTGGGGGTCAGTGTTCGTCTTCCGTCTTCTCTGTATCCTACCAGGGAGCGTTGATTAGTAGGCTTTGTCCACCGCTGCAGTTGGCTTGCGACTCAGCTGCTCGCTGCTACTCATTCCTTGTCAGCAGCTGGATTGCTCTGTGGCGGCGCTGGCCCAGCGCTTGCAGCTCGAGAGCAGCTGTACGTCACGGCACTTGCTCCAGCACGCTGCGAGTCTGTAACCAGCAGCCTGGAATAGTTTGCTGTGCGAGTACCCTCGGTACCCCCCCACCCTCCCTCGGGAGGTCTCCTGCTGTGCGCCGATCATCATTGCTCCTCGCTCACTCTCCAGAACTCATCAAAACCCTTATCATTAGATTATCAGTCACTTGGACCACAGAACTTTTACAGCCTATAGCTTGGACAACATGTTCTTTGGGTCTTTCGGTAAAGTCACGTAGAAAGGTCCAAAGGAAATAACAAAAAACTACGACGTTTCGATCGCAACACAAGCGGTCGTCTTCACGAAAAGGGGGGTTAGCTTCCAAAGGCAAACTCTTTATAAGCGCTTGAAATGGGCATCGCCCAAATGTCAGCAGCCAATGTTAATGCAAATTGTGGACAGCCAACCCGACGGTTGTTGGTTTTCCACCAATCAAAGGGCTGCCAGGTGAAAGTTAGCATGTTAATGAGAGATTAGCACGTTAATGGGAAATCGCAAAGCCGCAACTGGGGGGTAATCGGCACGCAGAGTGGCTGTGTTGGTGTGAATCCTGTGAAAGCGCAAGTTTGAGATAGGCGTAAGCACAACTAACATCAGAAGGTGGTAGGATGGGAACATCGCAGCCAGTTATGACTTAAACTGGTTGATAACGTCCTTCCAATGATTTCTCAGTTTGTACCCATCTTCTCGGTTGAAATTGTGTCTGTGTCTATATATATGGATGGCTTCATGAACGAATCTTTGTTGATAGCCAGTGGGCTTGCAAAGTACCTTGGTCTTAGAGAAGTCAATGTCGTGTGAGCCCACCGCATTAAAACAATGATCAGCCACGGCCGAGGTATTGGTCCTACCGTGTTTCAGATCTGCCTTGTGTTCACGAACACGGTCTGAGACATGTCACTTAGTTTCCCCAATGTAACTACTGCCGCAGACACAGCTTAGTTTGTAGACGCCCGGGTATTACATGTCAGGGATCACATCTTTCACAGATGGTATCAAATCACGAATTTCATGTGAACTGGAATACGTACACCAAGCTCTCAAGATGATTGGATATTCAGACTACACAATCCGTAAAGCTATCATCCCAACTGTTGGGAAAGAACCATCTGAGGACCCAATCAAAACCATCACCTTGCCATACATAGCAGGGGTCACTAAAAATATTTCCAAAATCATGAGCAAACAAGGTCCAGGTTCGAATTTTTTACCTGCTTATCCCAGATTATATGGCGTAATAGTAATTGTGAATAAAAAATATACAAAAATAGTCATATTAAACATTTTGATCTGAGCTTCATCATCATATACATTATATCATCAAGTTAACGTTATTCACATTAAGATGTTTTTTGTTCATGTTTTTGTTTTTTGTTTGTTGCGGTTGCACCCAATTCAAGAGCCGAATGGCTCACAGGGCTATACCTAATAAATGAACTTGAACTGGAACGTTTAATCTCATGATGTTTGAAAATATTCCCATGAGGTGGTGGTCTATCCAACTTTACAACTTTTCCAAGCCAAAGCTTGTGGATAATTAACCTCCAGATGCCAGTCTCTTTGTGTGAGGGCGAGGCAGCAGGGGGTGCTCCTTTGGCCTTTGTTGTTTCAAGGAAGGAGTTCACAGGCTTCCGTTACTGCGTTTTTTTTAGAACTCGCTAAATCCAGACGTGAAAAAAAACTATTACATTAAAAATAGGCAATATCACACTTAATAAAAAAATTGGGAAAAGGCATGTATACAATACCGTGTCTCTTCCACCCCGTGTCTCTTCCTTCTTCCCGTGTCTCCTCGTCCCCATGTCTCCTCGTCCCTATGTCTCTTCCACCCCGTGTCTCTTCCTTCTTCCCGTGTCTCCTCCACCCCGTGTCTCCTGCAGGTCCATTGGTCGCACGAGGAGTAAAACTGAGTGGAGAAGCCATGGCCACTACTCGAGATGTTCTGTACCTCCTCACCCTACTGCTGCTCACCATCGTTTGTTCCATCACAGCTCAGGATGGTGAGATGACGGGAGGATACCTCTGTGAATAGTCACCATGTGTAGCCAAGTGTGTGCACGTGTGTGTAGATGTGTGTGTGTACACGTGTATGTGTATATATACATGTGTGTAAATGTGTGTGTGTGTGCACGTGTGTGTACACGTGTGTGTGTACACGTGTGGGGAGCAGTAGTGTCACGGTTAGCGCACTGCACTATGAACCTGGCGACCCGGGTTCGATTCCCGCTCACGACAAACAGCGGTGACGATTATTTGAACCGGTCCTGGGCCTCCCCTAGGTCGACTCAGCCTCAAATTAGTAACTGATGTGATGTGTAAACATCGCCACTAGAGAGAAAAAGGCGGTCGGGCGCGGTGGTAGCCACCCACCCCCTCGTGTGCTGTGCCGGCCTTTATAGGTGCTCACTAACAGCACTTGCCCCTACAGTCTGTTAAAGTTATACAGGGGATATTTGTTTCTTTGTTTTGTGTACCCGTGTGGGGAGCGGTGGTGCAGTGGTAAGTGTGCTGCACTATAAACTCGGCAGAGACCCGAGTTTGATTCCCGCACACGGAAACCAACACCAAATGACGAAAATCTGAATCAGTCCTGGGCCTCCCTGAGGTCGACTCAGCCTCAAATGAGTACCTGGTGCAGTGTGTAAAACCATCACCATTGGGGAAATAAAGTCGGCCGCGCATGGTGTTGGCCACCGACCCCATCATTTCCCTTTGCAGGCCTTCCGGGAAAGATCCTGACAAGGATTATTCAACATCGCCCCCTTGCAAGGCACACTGAGGAGAGGCTTGCAGAGCCGCAATGTGGTTTCAGGGCAGTTCGTCACAGATGCCATATTTTCTGTCTTTTTGCTACAGCAGAGGTCTAGGGAATTCCAACAGGACCTCCATCTCTGCTTTATTGACTTGGGTAGGGCTCTCGGTTGTTCTTCGTGTTTTAGGGGTCCCTGACTCACTGCTCACAATCATTATGGACCTTGTTGATTGTGGGCAGTCCCAGATAAAGCTATGTGGCCAGGAGTCCGAGCCATTCCCTGTTCACCTTGGGGTGGGACAGGGATATCCTCTGGCTCCTAAATGAATTAAAATATTTTTTGACGACGTAGTTCAAGGAGCCTTCTATGGCTGTACCAGAAGACTTTCCATATGGTACAATGGGAGATTGATTAATGCCCAGGTGCGGTCCAGGAATTACTCCCTATTGGTCCACCATGTTATGTATGCTGATGATGTTGTGATTGCTGCACACTCAGAGGAGTTGGAGGTGCTGCTGCTGAACCTGGAGCGTACTACTAAAAAGTGGTGCCATGGTAATTGCGGGTTCGATCCTGAGACCCTGATGCCGGTATATTTGGAGTATGAGTTTACATGCCTCTCTCCCCGTGGTCGAGTGTTGTTTCTAAGAGTCCTTTGGTTTTCCCCTACAATTAAACATACCTTGAGAGGTTTTGGCTTTTTCCACTTGATAAGCCACTTCGTTGAGCTATCATTTGTGGGCAGGTTTCTTGACCTGGTAAAAAATGTTTTTAAATAGATAAGTGGGGTCTTACCATCAGTCCCACCAAAACTAAGCACCTGCCTAGGTATTTGTAGTCATCAAACACTCCACCCCCTCAACGGCCTATTGATGATGCAGTAGTTGTGGAGGGAGTAGAGAGGTTTCCATACCTGGGCAGTGTGCTTATGACCAGCTCCGGTTTGACAGCAGAGGTCTCACTCCGGATCAGTTGAGCGGCATTATCTTTTCATTGCCTGTGTAATGCTGTGTGGAACCAATCTGGTCTGTCGCTCCACATGAAGCTTCAGGTCTTCTCGGCCACAGTCATGCCCTCCCTTCTCTATGCTTGCGAAACGTGGACCCCCCTAATGGAACATCTTCGCCGGTTAGAAACATTTAGGGTGGTCTGCCTACGATCCGTCCTGGGTTTAACCTGCCTGTATTGTGTGAGGAGCTCACAAATCCTTGAAAGATCTGGATACAGTTCCATCGGTGAGCTCTTCTGGTAGGCAAGGCTGAGTTGACTGGTCATGTAGCCCGCATGCCCAGCCATCACAGCCCAAGCTGCTTCTGTTTGGCCGCATAGAGGGGGCTAACTGGGCGCAGCACGGGCTAGAGAACAGATGCAGCTGATGTGGTAGAGGAGGATATTAAGCTGAGTGAACTACCCGATGACCGGAACCAGCAGTGTCAATATCGGCTTATGTACGGGAGGCTCGTGAAGGACGCTACTCGGCAGTTGGAGGTAGTCCCCCTCCAGCAACAATGGAGGGCAGAGGAGCGACGCTCGCAACAATGAAGGGAGTGCCCGTCGGCTAAAACACAGCAAGTTGGCAGAGTAGGGGGCACAGGTGGTTTATTTGCCAGTCATTTCAGTCAACCCATAACACCTGCAGGCTCTGTTCCGTGACCTGCCAGTAGAGATCCTGCCACACTTCACATGTACCTGGCCTGGTACAGGTGCCGTGGTGACGTCACCATGATTTAGTGACAAATGGCGGCTGTTGTTGTTGTTGTTCAATTACCACTCACGACCAACACTGGTGACGATTATCTGAATCGGTCCTGGACCTTCCTTATGTCAACTCAGCCTAAAATGAGTACTTGGTGCAGTGTGTCCTAAACATCATCAAAGGAGAGCCAAAGGCGGCCGGGTGTGGAACTGGACACCCCGTGTGCTGTGCTGGCATTCATAGCTGCTGCTACTCACTAACAGCATCTTCTTGTTTCTTTCGGTAAAGTCACGTAGAAGGGAAGTAATAAAATAATAAAAATAAAACATAATAAAACAATTCTCACGACGTTTCGGCTACAACGCAAGCAGCCGTCTTCAGGTGAAGAATGAGACACTACCAAACTAGGAGCTTATATATAAGCTGCATTGGGGGTTGAAGAGCGCCTTAACAAAAAGAATGTGCATGTGAAGAGGAATTTAGCATATTCATGGAAAATGCGTAGGCGTTGGGCGGGGGGGTGTCAAAGTCATATTATGCCCATGCATTATGCAGGATCAGCAGCAACCAAGGGGGGTGCAGGGATTAGCAGTAACAAAGGGAAGGAATGTTAATGATATGTAGCTGCAGTTACTCAACAACCACGTAGAAAACTAAAGTATAAACTACATAAAAAACTAAAGTATAAACTGCATCGCACCATCAGTATACTTACTATACTCTATAATAAGCTGAGTTACTAACAGCAAGTAATACATTACCATTCTACCTCGTAAAAATTCTATAATATGCTTCCATCTAGACCTTATTCTCTTACATCACACGAGCATATACCGTACTATATACTGCCATAGATAAACCCAACATTAAATTATATACTGTATTGCTGTAAACCAACCTATATCTTATACATTTAATATAACACTATGTATTATTCTACACACCCTAATGTGTGTCGAAATGGTTTATTACGTCCTTCCAATGATTGCTGAGCCAGAATCCATCTTCTCGGTTAAAATTGTCTCTGTGTTTGTATATGTGGATCGCCTCATGAACGAATCTCTCATGATAGCCAGATGGCTTGCAGAGAACCTCTGTCTTGGAGAAGTCAATATCATGTGAGCCCACTGAGTTGTAACAGTGATCTGCCACGGCTGAGGTGTTTGTCCTACCGTGTTTCAGGTCAGCTTTATGTTCACGGATGCGGTCCGAGACATGTCGTTTGGTTTCCCCAATGTAACTGCTACCACAGAGGCAACTTAGTTTGTAGACGCCAGGGTACTGTATGTCTGGAACCACATCTTTTACAGACGGTACCAGATCACGGATTTTATGTACTGTGTTGAATCGGACATGGATCTTGTGTTTAATCAGGATTTTAGAGATCTTTTTTGTGACCCCAGCAATGTAGGGTAAGGTGATGGTCTTGAAAGGCTCCTCAACAGGATCCTTCTTGATGGTTGGAGTGATGGCTTTGCGGATTGTATAGTCGGAGTAACCATTTGCCTTAAGAGCTTGGCGTACGTGTTTGAGTTCACTGGAAATGTGTTCATGGTCGGAGATGCATTGGGCTCTATGATATAGAGTCTTGATGAGGGAATTCTTCTGGGATGGATGGTGGTGGGAATCCGGTTTTAGATAAGCATCCGTGTGGGTGGCTTTCCTGTAGACAGAGTGGCTCATTGAACCATCAGGTCTCCTTTTGATTAGGACATCCAAAAAGGGTAGCTTGCCATCATTTTCGACTTCCATGGTGAATCTGATGGCTGGGTGTATGGAATTGATGTGGTCGAGAAATTGGTCTAGAGCAGGCCGGCCATGTGGCCAGATGACAAAAGTGTCGTCTACGTACCTCTTCCATAAGGTCGGGCGTAGAGTGGCAGTCTGGATAGCGTCCGTCTCAAATTTCTCCATGAAGATGTTGGCTACAACCGGAGATAGGGGGGAGCCCATTGGGGTGCCCTCAATTTGCTTGTAGAAGGTTCCATTCCAGGTGAAGTATGTATTGGTTAAGCAGTGTCTCACCAGGGGGGGTACCCCAGCATTCAGTCCTTGATGAACCAAGTCTTCAATGATTGCGATGGTGTCAGGCACAGGTACCTTGGTGAACAAGGAAACCACATCAAAACTGACAAGCAGGTCGTCTGGGGACAGGGCAATCCCCTTGATTGTCGATACCAGGTCAGTAGAGTTTAGTACTGCAGAGGTGGTTTTTCCAGTGAAAGGCCGTAGGATTTCGGACAAAAAACGAGCCAGTTTGTAAGTGGGGGAGTTGATAGTAGAGACAATGGGACGAAGAGGTGTATCTTCTTTATGTATCTTTGGCAAGCCGTACAATCTTGGTGGTCTGGCTGCAGAAGGTTTCAACGAGAACTGTTTGGTCTGATCAATTAATGCGGTTGAAGCAGAAATGATGTTGTTGGTTTTGGAGACGAGGCTGTTGGTGGGGTCTCTTTTTATTTTTGTATAGCTGCCATCGTTTAATAGTTCTTGAATTTTGTTGTTGTATTCTATTTTGTCCATGATGACAGTGGCATTGCCTTTGTCGGCTGAGAGGATGACAATGTCATCCCTCTTTTTTAATTGAGCTAATTCAAAACGCTCCTCTTTGCTGATGTTGCTAGCTGGCTGTTGCTAGCTGGCTTTACCGAAAGAAACAAGAAGATGAATCCCTGCAGTCACGAAAGCTTTAAATCACTAACAGCACTTACCCAAACAGTCTGTTAACACCACAATGGGGATCTATGCCCTTGTGTGTACACTTGTGTTTAACTCCTGTGCTGTGTTCACACAGATCAACCGAGTGATGAAGAAATCAAACGCAAGTGCGGGTTTTCTCTCAAAGAAATCCACGGTCAGTACAGCAGACGCGCGCGTGCATGCATGTGGGTGTGTGGGCGAGCGGTCCGGTCTGTGATCTGACTTGTAATCTGGTCTATGCTCTGGTCTGTTCGTGATCTGGTATGTAATCTGGTCAGTGATCTGGTCTGTGATCTGTTCTGTAACCTGGTCTATCATCTGATCAGTGATCTGGTTTGTGATCTGACTTGTAATCTCGTCTATGATCTGGTCTGTTTGTGATCTGGTCTTTGATCTGACTTGTAATCTAGTCAGTGATCTGGTTTGTGAATTGCCTTGTTATCTGGTCTGTTAGTGATATCGTCAGTGATCTGACTTGTAATCTGGTCTGTGATCTGGTCTGTGAGTTGTCTGGTCTATGCTCTGACTTGTCATCTGGTTTGTCATCTGGTCTGAGTGATCTGGTCTGTGATCTGCCATCTAGTCTGGTCTGTGATCTGACTTGTATTTGGTCTAAGATCTGGTCTGTTCATGAGTGATCTGGTCTGTGATATACATTCTAGTCTGGTCTGTGATCTGACTTGTATTTGGTCTAAGATCTAGTCTGTTCATGAGTGATCTGGTCTGTGATCTGGTATGTTCGTGATCTAGTCTGTGATCTGCCTTCTGATCTGGTCTGTGATCTGGTCAGTGATATGCTCTGTGATCTGGCTTGTAATCTGGTCTGTAATCTGGTTTGGAATCTGACTTGTAATCTGGTCTGTGATCTGGCTTGAAATATGATCCGTGATTTGACTTTGTCTGGTGTGGGATTTGGTACGTGAGTGATACGCTGCATAATCTGGTCTGTGATCTGGCTTGTCATCTGGCATTGTATCTGGTTTGTGATCCGTTTCAATGCAGATTGCAAGTACGCGAAGTGCCTCAATGCCAGTATCATCTGCACTGCCAAGAAAACCGAACAGACGGCTGACGACATCTCAAGTAAGTGCCTCTGTGATGACAATGGTTGTGGTGATGTTGGTGATGATGGTGGTGATGATGGTGGTGGTTATGATATGGGCTGGAGAAAAGGTGGAATGATGCGGTAGGGGAGGATGTAGAGCTGAGTGGACTTGCCAATGACCGGTTACAACGGTGTCAAGATCGGCATCTATGGAGGAGGCTCGTGAAGGATGCTAATGGACAGTAGGAGGGCAAATGAGTGACACAACAAGCAGAGCACCATGGTTAAAAACCATCAAGTTGGCACAGTAGGGGGCACAGGTGGTGCATCTGCCAGTCATCTTCGTCGGTCAACCCGTGGCATCTGGGTCTGTCCCGTGACCTGCCAGCGAGCGTTCGACACTTTATGTGGTGACGTCACCGCCACTTAGTGGCTAATGGCGGTTGTTGTTGATGGTGGTGGTGCTGATGGTGGTGATGTTTTTCTTACAGACTGTCAGATGGAACAGTGTATGCTTACCCGAAAGGAGTGTGAATCACCACTCAACAAGTACCTCAGTAAAGAAGAACGTCAGTACCCCTCTATATTTCTACCACTACCCCTCTACCCCTACCCTTCTACCCCTCTACCCTTCCACCTCTCTACCACTACCTTTCTACCCCAACCACTCATCCTTAACAGACACCCCAAACCCCTCACACCTAATCCACGATCCCTGAACCCTAACCCTCACAGTCGACCCACAACCCCAGCGACCCTTGACCTGGTCGCGTGATGCCGCTTTGCGCTCCCCCCCCCCCCCCTACAGAGTGCGAGGGCGACCACTTCACCGACACCGACTCGAAGTGCCTCATCAACTCGCGTGGCTCCATGGAGGCACTGACAAGTACGTCATTTGCCATCTTGCATAAAGCAAGGTATCAGTGGCCGTCTTGCATAGGGCAAGGCAGTGGTGGTGGCCATTTTGTGTAGGGCAGCAGAGGCAGTGTGAAAATAATAGGTTTTAGCCTTTCTGGCAATAAAACAGGTGCTAAGATGTTCAAATGCCAAATAGACACCTTTTGCAAGGAATCAAGTCTGCATTAATGATACACACTTGTGGCAAAACATGCAAATAAAACATGCTCTGATAATATATGCATTGTCTTTGAAACTAATTGGCCTACACCAGTGGTGATGGTGACCGATCAGTGGCGGTGGTGGACATCTTGCGTAGGGCGGCAGTGGTGGCTATATTGAACAGGGAAGTGGCCATGTCGCTCATTACAATCGCAGTCCTTGTTCTAGCGCGCTCGCGGCCGTAGCGGATGCATTATCAAAAGAGCCGAGTCAAGGAGATATGATTTCCCCTAAAACAATGTGGTAACGATACAATTTGGCGCGACAACGATGTGCTGATACGCATGCCACGCAGTGACATGGCAGGACAAATAACCGAGGGTATGCCGCCGTCGCATGTTATGATATCGTTCCCACGTACCGTTATCACCATACCGCTCAGCCGTGCATCTCAAGCAAGTGGCTCATCGTCGACCGCTCAGAAAATGGTGCAAGCATTATAACTGTGTGCGAGTTCCGCGTTATAATGGCACGCACATTCCACATTGCGCGAAAAGTGTTCCCTCGATGGACGAACCACGTTATTGCGAAAACACGTTCCAGTGTAAACACTGCCACGTGCTAAGTGAGGGCTTGCCATACATGGACACTGGATGGGCTATGTTGTGGAGTTGGCGAGCCTATATAAAAGTGGGTGGGGCTAATGGATAGAGGGAGGGGTTTGACTAGTCCACCTTGTGGACAATGATGGTAATGATGATGATAATATTCATCACGATAATGACATTATCTATGGAACCTTTTTGACAGTATCTCAACGATGAATTGCTCAACCGATGAATCCTATGATACTTGCATTGCCTTTGTACTGTTCACATTTTGGCATTCTCTGGTCAACACTGTCTCTGGTGTAGGCCAATCAGTTTTAAAGATAGTGCATCATATATTTATCAGAGCATGTTTGCATCTTTTGCCACAAGCTCCTGCAGTTAATGCAGACTTAATTCCTTGCAAAAGGTTTATATTTGATGTTTAAACACCTCCTGTGTTATTGCCAGAGAGGCAGAAGCCTATTATTATTATATTCTTCGATAATGATGGTGGTTCTGCTATTTATGTGGACAATGATGGTGATGGCGGTAGTGTAGCAGTTAGTACGCTGCGCTACGAACCCGGCGACCCGAGTTTGATTCCTGCTCATGGCCACCAACACCAGTGACGATTATTGGAACTGGTCCTGGGCCTCCCCTAGGTCTACTCAGTCTCAAATGAGTACCTGGTGTGATATGTAAACATTGCCACTGGGGCGACAAAGGCGGCTGGACGTGGTGTTGGCCACTCACCCCCTCGTGTGCCATTCCGGCCTTCATAGGTGCTGCAACTTGCAAACAGCACTTGCCCAAACAGTCTGTTTAGGCTATACATGGGAGCTTTGTCTTATGGTTCTACCACTGATGTGGAAGATTATGGTAATATTGATCATGACAATGGTGGTGATGGCGGTGGTGGTTCTGCTGATGTCGACGATGATGGTGGTTCTGCTACTCATGTGGACAATGATGGTGATATTGATCAAGATGGTGGTGATGGTGCTGCTACCGATATGGATCAGGATGGCAGTGGTGGTTTTACTACTGATGACGACGATGATGTTTTTTTGTGGTTCTGCTACTGATGTGGATGATATTGGTCACGAGGATGATGGTGGTAATCGTGGTTCTGCTACCGATAATGATGATGGTGGTGGTGGTTTTGCTACTGACGGTCTGTGCAGCATGCAAGCACAATGGCTACCTGGTGGATAAGCGGGTGTGCTTTGAGAGCGAATGGAAGCGCCGGATCGAAGCTCACGGTGGGTGCCCGTCGGTCCTCGTGTCAAAGTGTGGTTCATCTGATATGCTAATGGAACACATCCCAACAGTCTGCGAAGGCTATACGGGGGGTCTTTGTCTTTTTTGTATAAACTATGAACAGGTTTTTATATTATTTTACCAGGTGTAAGGCCTCGTAGTTCTTTTTCAGACAAGTGACCTGCCTATCACGAACGATAGCTCAACGAAGTGGCTGATGACATGTACATGTATAGCAGTAGCCAAATAATCTGAATGCTTGATGTCGATTCTAAATGTGGAGGTAAAAATTGGAAGACCCAGAGGAAAATCCACACGACCACGGGGAGAGAGAGAGACATGCGAACTATACAGCAGGCATTGTCAGGGTCGGGATCGAACCAATGACCTCCTGCATACCAGGCGAGGTAGCTAAAATTGAATACCAATATCCACTGTGGGAGCACCCACAGGTGCGGGAAGGGACAACACAATAAATGTAAACGCATCCACCGCATGTTGATTAACTGTGAATAACCCAACCGATAATAGGTACAGAAGTCGCTCTGATAGCATTTTCTATCCATTCCATGAAAACTCCTGTCAACCTAAAATAGCTATTAAATCGAATTAACTTATAAGTTGAAAATTAAGTAAAAAATTACCAAGTCTGCACCAGAGAGAGCTGTTTCCGCTGCCAAAATAGAAAACGTATACCATTAAAGAAAGCCAGTCGAGGTATAAATGGCTCATAAATAGAATTAAACTATTTGTAGTTTACCAGGTAATGCCCATTGAGCTATGTAGCTCTTTTTCAGAAGCGACCTGGCCATCACAATTGATGGCTCAATGACGTGGCTTATCACGTATAAATTTATAGCAGCCAATACTCTAAATGCATATTTCTAAATGTGGATGGAAAAACCGGAGGACCCGGAGAAAAATCCAAATGACCACAGGGAGAGAGACATGGCAAACTACAAATATACAGGCATCAGAGGGTCAGGATGTAACCCACAGCCTCCTGTGTACCAGGTGATGTAGTTAACATCCCACCACCATGGCGTCGCTGATTGGCTGAGGGCATGGCTCACCAACCACTTTAAAGCTCTTTGATTGGCCGAAATTGGCGCCACTGTGCGTGACGTAAACTTTTTACGGTTTGTCAACATTTGTAACGTTAAGTCGAAACCATGGGGTTAATATGGGAGGCGAAATGTTAACCCAAAAACTGTTAACCCGATGTGACTGTTAACCGAGGGACTACTGTACGGTATATTGTTAGATTCATATGATCCATTATAACTTATGTGACTACTCTACCCCCCAATCTGGTCTTCACACCAGATAGGCTCACAGTGATTACATTACTTTTACTCCTCAATTTAAGACTGAAACTGGAAGACTTCGCTGTGATGAACCTGCTGATTGTTGTTGTTGTTGTAATCGCACCAAGTGAAATGTCATAGTTACTAGAATTGTAAATATTGTTGGTGGTTTACTCTCCAGCACACAACCGGTTAGTGCTGAAGTAGTCACTAATTGGCACCACGTTTTGTTTACGTGAAGGGTACGGGATAGAGGAGGTGGTCATGGTAGAGGGGTACCTAGGGGGTAGGGAAGGGTAGGGTAGGGGTCATGATAGAGGGGTGCAGGAGGAATATAAAAGGGTAGGGGATAGGGGTCACAGTAAAGGGGTGAGTAGGGGTCATGGTGTGTTTGGCGATGGTCGCTGCAGGCTTCATGTGTGTTCATGGTTCTTCTCCCTGGTTTCTGCATTTGTAGCCTTAAATGAGCTGAACGAACACGCAATCACCAAGGAGGCCGAGCGTGAGTCACTAACTCACACAGACACACACGGACTCACATACACACGCAGACTCACACAGACACACAGACTCACAGACACACACGGACTCACATACACACGCAGACTCACACAGAGATACACAGATTCACACAGACACACACGCAGACTCACACAGACTCACACGGACTCATACAGATATATACATACTCATGCAGACTCACACAGAGAAACAAATATTCACACAGAGATGCACAGACTCACACAGAGATACACACAAAGAGAGCAATGGTGGCGACTGGCCTACAGATGTTCAGAGGCTTACACCTATGTAGCATCCACACACCTACCGACCTACCCACCCACGCACCCACACTGCACACCCACCCATGCACCCACTCACCCACCCACAAGTTCAAGTTCATTTATTAAGTATAGTCCTGTGAGACATTCGGCTCTTGAATCGAGTGCAACCGCAACAAACAAAAAACAAAAACATGAACAAAAAACATCTTAAAGTGAATATGTGACTGAGTGCAAACAGAAAATCCAAGAAAAGACAGCAAAATATTGCAGAAAAAACACCGTACACCACCGCTGTGTGCAAACATCCCAGTGGGATGCAAGTCAAACAACCAACAACAACCACAAGACAACTTAGATTAAGGCCATCAGTCTAACTCTGTACTACAACAAACAAACATGGCTTAACCAATACACTTTTCGAAATAACCAAAATAAAGCCATGAAAGCAATGAAACAGTGATCATAGGAACTGTGACGGAACTTTCACAATAAATGGCATAAACAACATGTACCACCAAACCCTGTAGCCATAGCTGGCTGCATGAGTCACTCCACAACAGCAAGAGCATCAATCGGAGTATTATAATTTTTCAATGCACCTTTAAGATCAGCACACTAAATCAAAACACAGGTCATACTTTGTAGCGATCATCCGGAGCGAAACATTTTATTTTAGGCCACTGAATAGCACTGGCAGCTAGGGGTGTACAACTCCTCTAGAGCAGTTTTGAGTGAAGATCTCATAGGTAGTGACTCAAGTTTCAATTTATTTGCAACAGCATTCCAGACCCTGGGGGCATCAATAGCAAAGGCCCTTCCTCCAGTATATGTACGGCAATAGGGAATATGAAGCTGGTAAATGATTGTAGACCTTAGGTCAAATTTGTTCTTTGAAACAGAGAGGAGATCCAGCAGGTAATCTGCGGATTTTTTGTAAGTACATCATGAATAAATAAGATCTGGTGCACAAGCCGTCGAACATTCAGAGATGTTAAGTTTGACCCAATGTAGAGATCACAGTGGTGAGTCCTATATGGGCAGTTCAATGCAAATCTTAAGGCCGAGTGATACATTGAGTCAAGCTTCTTCAGTACAGTACTTGGGGCTGATTTATACACGATGTCACAGTAATCAAGTAGAGGCAGTATGGTAGCTTTTATCAATTCCAAACGGAACATAGGGGGGAAGCAGTGCTTGTGTCGATATAGAAAATCAATTAAAATGTTTGTCTTTTTCCCAATATAATCAATGTGATCTTCAAAATTCAGTTTTTAATCCAGGATGACCCCAATATACTTATAGATCTTGACTTGCTCTATTTGATCATTATTTAAGGAATGTAATTGGGGGAAAATAACTTCCCGCTTTAGTCCCGGTGAGAAGCATAGCACCTTGGTTTTGGCAGTGCACACCTACCCACACACCCACCAAATCATCTACACTACACGCCCACCCACCCACGCACCCACACTACACACCCCCGCACCCACCCACACTACACACTCACGGAGGCTGTGGCGCTAACCGCGGGTGATGTGGTGCCCCCTGCAGAGTGTGCCTACAACACGTGCTTCCAGAGAGTGGAGGACTGCCTGAGCTCCCACCACTCGGAGATTGCAAAGAACCCCGGTGAGGAGACTACACAGAGACTCCTCCGCACAAAGCCTCTACACAGAAACTCTACATACATAGAGTCTCATCATAGAGAGACTTTACATTCCAATACTCCTCCATACAGAGACTCTACATACACAGAGATTCTACATACATAGAGTATCTTCATACACGGAGACTCTGTGGAGGAGGCTCATGAAGGACACTGCTACTAGATGCATTTGCCCTCCTGCTACAGCGGAGGGCAGAGGAGCGACACTCACAACAATAAGCGGAGTGCAAATCACTCCTTAATTCCGCCATCGCATCAAACTAGGAAATTTACAGCCCTTCCTGTTTGGACCCCACCCCTTCCTGGTTGGGCCCCATGCCTTCCTATTTAGTCCCCACCCCTTCCCATTTAGGCCCCACCCCTTCCTGTATAGGCCTCACTCCTTCCAGGTTGGGCCCCTCCCCCCTCCCCTCCCCCCCACTGTAGGGGTAGGGGTGGGCGGAGTCACAGTGATGGCCACCAGAAACCCATGTGATAAGAGATTGACAAGATCAATTACTTTGACTTGGAGTTTGATTCTCTCCCTCTCACCCCTCTCTCCTCTTCTCTCTCCCTCTCGCATCCTCTATCAATAAAAAAAAACCTATTAACTATTTTTATTTTACCAGGTAAGGCCCACTGACTTATATAGCTTTTTTCAGAATCGACCTGGCTATCAATACGAAGTGGCTTATCATGATCACGTGGAAATGTATAGCACCAGCCAAATACTCAAAACGTTTGATGTCGATTCTAAATGTGGAGGGAAAAACCGGAAGCCCCGGAGACAAAAATCCATGCAGTGACCACCATGGGGAGAGAGAGACACACAGACTCCAAATATACCAGGCGAGGTAGTTAACATCTGATTCTCCCTCTCTGTCTCCCCGTTGTTCTCTCTTAGGTTCCAAGAGAAAGTTCAGAATCAAGCAATGCGCCTACATAGCGGTCGACTACCCGCACGGTGAGCCACGCGTGGGGACATGTTGTGTAGAGGTGTGGGCATATAGTTTAATAATGATGATAATAATGGTGGTGATGATGATATTATGGGGAGCGGTAGTGTAGCTGTTTAGCACGCTGTGCTATGAACCCCGCAACCCGAGTTCGATTGCCATTCACGGTCAACATCAGTGAATTGATCATGGGCCTCCTCTAGGTCGACTCAGCCTCAAAAGAGTACCTAGTGTGGTGTGTAAACTTCACAATTGAGGAGAAAAAGGCAGCCGGGGCGTGGTGCTGGTCACCCACCTCGTTGAGTGTCATGCCTGCTTTCATAGGTGCTCACGAACAGCACTTACCCGAACAGTCTGTTCAGACATAATTCAGGTTTTTTGGGTCAGATCACATAAATATATAAATGTGTCGTTAAACTCGCCACCACCCGACACGGCCAAGTAGTAAGGTTTGTCACGTCAACAGAACATGCCAATTCATTACTAGTACAGCACACCGGTGTGTTGGAGAGCCAAGCCACAACATTTAAAATCTGAGTACGACGTTTTGCCAGTAATTATAACCAGCTTCATCAGGCGACAGCCAGATTTTTGGAGAAGTCCACCTGTTTCGTTCCTTAAATAGAGGCGTAGATGTGATGACAACACTTGTTTGCTCTTCTGTCGCAAAGTGGGGGGGATTATTAAATCAACGTACATTATGCATGCGCATTATGTGAGTAAATTAATCTCGTACTTTTTTCCCATTGTGTGTACTAAAATAGCCGTACATTTATATATTTACGCGATCTAACCCAAAAATCCTGTATTATGGATGATATTGGTCGCCTACGTGTTAGTCTGTTCAGACTATCAAATCAAATCAAGCTTTACTTATATCGCACAATTCATGCAGCAAAGCAATACAAAGTGCTTAACAGGACTAAATTAAGCGACTGATGCAATATAAACAACAATAAGAATGATACATTTTAAAAAGTACATGGCATTATAATGAACGTAAAGTATAATAAAATACACAATCAACGCGTAATAAAGGCATCCTAATTAAAAGCCAATCTAAAAAGGTATGTTTTAAGATTTCTTTCCCTCAGATCCTCAGGCAAGCTATTCCAAAGGCGAGGACCATAGTCATTTTGTTTTGACGGTGATGCTGATGATGCTGGTGATGATGGTGATGATAATGTTGTAGATGATGGTTATGATGAAGATGGTGGTCATGATGGTGGGAATGATGGTGATGTTGATGATGATGGTGGTGATGATCATGTTGATGATGGTGGTGATAAAAAACAGGTTTTACCCTTTCTGGCAATAAAACAGTCGGTTTTGATTTGAAGCTTTTGTGACTGCAGGAATCCATTCTCTTTGGTTCTTTCGGTAAAGTCACATAGATAGAAAATTAATAGATCACGACGTTTTGATTGCAACGCAAGCAACCGTCATCAGGTGAAACAAACACAGCAGTTCTCATCCTTGCAAGTACTGTGTGTGGTTAATGCAAACTTGATTCCTTGCAAAAGGTTTCTACTTGGTGTTTGAACATCTTAATATCTGTTTTATTGCCAGAAATGGTAGAACCAATTCTTATTTTTTATACTGACAAAAAGGTCCCATTTTTTTGCGGTGGTGATGATGGTGTTGATGATGATGGTGTTGATGATAATTGTGGTGACGTTTATGTGTGTGTGTGTCGTCACTCAGAGTGTGAGCAGATTAAATCCATCTCTGGCTGTGTGGACTCGCTGCAGAAATGCATCAAAGATCACCCAGCACCAACACCTGTCCCCATTGGTGAGCTCGACAGCAGCAGCAGCACAGTCTGATTTTTAAAAATGATTTTACCAGGCCCCACGTTCAGCTATGTAGCTCTTTTTCAGAAGCAAACTCGCTATCACAAATGATAGCCCAATGAAGTGGCTTATCATCATCATCATGTGGACTTTTTTTTAGCAGCCAAACACTCTGAACGCATGATCATTTTAAATGTGGAGGAGAAAACCGGAGGACGTGGAGAAAAATCCACGCGACCAAGGGGAGAGAGACTCCATCTGCCATTCTTCCACTCAGGTGGTGGGTGTACATCCAGGACCCCATTTAAACCCACAGTGGTCTGGTCTCAGCTAGCTGATGAAAGTTGCAAGCGAGAATTTCATCATCGCTTGCAGATGGGGTTGGCATCGTCCCCCACTCCTCTGGATGTCGAGGGGAAATGGGCGAAGTTTAGGATTGTGGCTCATGTAGCTGCAATGGCTGCCTTAGGTACATGGCACAGACCTCCCTAGAGACCCTGGCTGGTGTTCAACCTGGCTGAGAAAAATCGACAGGCCCACTCTCATTGTCTACAGCATCCCACATCAGAGAATGAGGAGGCTTACCGCAGCCTTCGCTCGGAGGTTTGGAGAGCCGTGTGGCGCTGCAAGGATGCGTGGTGGTCACGGGTTGCTAAGGAGATGAAGTCTGCTTCAGTAGCCTGCGCTAACAAACCACTCTTTAATTTCATCAAAAAAGTAACTTGCAGCGCTACACCTATCACCATCATAAAGAGAAAGAAAGGTGATCCATTCTCCGACAACCAGTAACAGGTTTGCAGATTTGCCAAGTATTTCTGTGAGGTCTTAGGAGAGTGGAAATCCGTCAGCCTGGAAAGCATCATGGGGCAAAGTGGGGATGACCCTGCTGAGGCTGCAGTGCCTCAAATATTGGAAGAATCATTCACCCCCTGTGAGTGACTCACTGAAGTGCTATCTATTGAGGAAGTACAGAAGGTGATCCAGTCTAAGAACAGAAAAAGCAGCGGGCAGAGAAGATCTCCGAAGCGACATGCTGAGGGAGGGTGGCGTTTGCGTGTAAACTGCCCTACACGACATCATAATAACAGTCTGGATCACTGGATGGGTTCCGCAGGATTGGAAGGATGCCCTGGTGGTCCCCCTATTTAAGAAGGGGGAGGCACAAACTGTAACAATTACAGGGGCATCTTCCTCCTCAGTGTTCCGGGAAAGGTCCTGGCAAGGATTATTCAATATTGCTTTGCCAGGCATGCTGAGGAAAGGCTTGCAGAGCCCTATTGTGGTTTCAGGCCAGGGCGGTTTTACACAGATGCCATGTTTCTGTCCGTATATTACAGCAAAGGTGTCGGGAATTCCAACAGGACCTACATCTCTGTTTTATTGACCTGGTCAAGGCCTATGGTACCATGAATAGGCTTGGGTTCTGGGTTGTTCTTCGTGCTTTCAGAGTCCCTGACTCTCTGCTCACAATCATTAAGAACCTTCACAATGGTGTGCAGGCCCAGGTAAAACGACGTAGCCGGGAGGCGGAGCCATTCCCTCTTCACCTTGGGGTGTGACAGGGATGTCCTTTGGGTCCCACATTATTAAAAAAAAATCGGCTTTATGAAGCCTTCTATGGCTGTCCTGGAGGAATCTCCATCTGATACAGATGCAATGGGAGGCTGATTGATGCTCGGATGTGGTCAAGGGATGGCTCCCTATTGGTCAACCATGATCTGGTGATTGCTGCTCACTCAGAAGAGGAGTTGGAGGCGCTGCTTCTGAACCTGGAGCGTACCACTAAGAGGTGGGGCCTTACTCTTAGCTCCACTAAAAATAAGCACGTGTCTGGGTATTTAGTACCATCAGAAACTCCACCCCCTCAAATCCCCATTGGTGATGGGGCAGTTGTGGAGAGAGTGGAGAGTTTTCCATACCCAATTAGTGTGCTTATGACCAGCTCCGGTTTTACAGCAGAGGTCTCACTCTGAATCAGTCGAGTGGCATTATCTTTTCATCGGCTGCGTAACGCTGTGTGGAAGCTACCTGGTCTGTCGCTCCACACAAAGCTTCGAGTCTTCTCGGCCACGGCCATGCCCTCCCTTCTCTATGTTTGCAAACATAGACCACCATAATTGAACATCTTCGGCATGGGCTAGAGAAGAGATGGAGCGATGTGGTACAAGAGAATGTGGAGCTGAGTGGACTTGCCGATAACTGCCACCAGTGGTGTCAAGATCGGCCTCTGTGGAGGAGGATCGTGAATAACGTTTCTCGGCAATTGGAGGCAGTCACCTTGCAGCAACAACGGAGGGCAGAGGAGCGATGCTCACAATTGTAGTAACATCGCTAGATGTCAACATGCTGGGTGCAGTGCCGGCCCTAGAGGGGCACGGCGTGCGGTGTAGTGACATCGCGGATACCACAGTGGTGTGGGTGAGGTACCGGCCCTAGAGGGACCCAGTGAGCGCTGAATGATTGCGCTAGATGGCACCACGCTTGGCGTGCAGTGCCGACAATACAGGACAGGGTGTGTGGGTGCCAGCCGAAGGATGAGGTTATTCGAAGCCATGGCACTCTGGTTGACCCGGGAGGACACGTGACCAGTTAAGTCTACAAAGGGGCCTCCAGAGGGGGCTAGAGGCGGTCACGTGATTGGGACCCAGATCCTTCCCGAGGATTCTAGAAGGTGGACGTGGCCAAGGGCGGAGCTGGCCACGCCGCAGAGAATATAAGCCGAGTCCCGAGAGGGACCAGGGTTGTTGTTGTTCATCCTGGAAGAAACCTTCGTCTACGTTCTCCGTTCAACAAGTCTACAACATGTGGACCCGCGCCGAAGCTGTTGGTCCAGGTCCGTAGTAGCAGTTACATTGTAACTAGTGTAGTTAGCCTGGTGGTCACCACCATAGGTTGTTATTTTGTTAAGGGAAAGTTATATTATTAGGTTTTTTCGGGAAAGTCACGTAGGTAAAAAATTAAAATGAATAAAAGTAAAATAAAATAAATATCATGACGTTTAGGGGGCAACACAAGCTTCCGTCTTCAGGTGGAACCGTCACAGCACGATAGCGGTATCAAGTGATTTTTATATAACTTTTATTAATTTTAATTTTTTACCTACGTGACTTTACCGAAAAAACCTAAGAATATGAATCCTTGCAGTCACGAAAGCTTCAAATCAAGGGGAAGTTACCCCGTGTGTTGGAACTGCATAAATGTGTTGCCTCCAAGTCTACGTCTGCGACTCAGTTGAACCCATTACACAATGAGGGGAGCGCCTGGGGGCTAAAACACAGCAAGTTGGCACAGTAGGGGGCACAGATGGTCAGTCAACCCATGGCACCTGGGTCTGTCCCGTGACCTCCTGCCAGCGGGCGTTCGACACTTCACGTGGCCTTTAAGTGCACCTAGCTTGGCACAAGCGCCGTGGTGACATCACCGCCACTTTGAATCGCTGTTGTTGTTGAGTGAGAGTGAGTGAGTGAGAGCGAGTTTGAGTGCGTGTATACAAACAACCTAACCCTTCCAAACTCGACCTCTGTCTCCTCCAAAGGCATCATTGTTGGAGCTGTAGTCGGGGTGCTTGTGGTGGCCGGAGTAGGGGTGGCGTTGTTATACATGCGGCATAAGAAGACCGGTAAGGGACATCGCATGCAGAACCACAACATATTAGCTCCGCCCACACCACCACTGGCTCCTCCCACACGCAAATTGGCTCCGCCCACACCCCCATTGGCTCCACCCACACTCCCCACTTGCTCTGCCGACACCCCACTGGCACCGCCCACACCCTGCTGGCTCAGCCCACACCTTCACCGGCTCCGCCCACATCCCCACTGGCTCCGCCTACACCACCACATACTCCGCCCACACCAACCACTGTCACCGCCCACAGTCCCAAGGTGAGTGGTAAACATTAACTTTGAGACAAATGGCCGGGCGTGGTGTTGGCCACCCACCCCCTCGTATGACAATCTGCCGGCCTTCATAGGGGCTACTCGCTAACAGTACATACCTCGACAGTCTGTTCAGGATATACGGGAGATCTTTGTGTTTGTGATGAACCCGTAACGCTCATCCACTCTATCTCCTCCCCCACAGGTCCCTTCCGGCGTCCGGGAAATCCAATCGCATAGAGAAATTACCGACACAGCAACAACCAGCTCTCCCCACTCTCCTTTCACTTTCTCCACCCACTCTCCCCTCACTCTCGCCCCCCTCACTCTCTCCCCCCAACCTCTCCCCTCACTCTCTCCCCCCACTCTCTCCCCCTAATCTCTCCCACCACTTTCTCCCCCCTCACTCTCCCCCCACTCTCTCTTCCCCCACTCTCCCCCCACTCTCCCTTCACTCTCCAACCACTTTCTCCTCACTTTCCCCTCACTCTCCCCCCACTCTTTCCCCCCACTCTCTCCCCACTCTATCCCCACTCTCCCCTCACACTCTCCCCTCACAGTCTCCCCTCACAGCTCTCCCCTCACACTCTCCCTTCACTCTCCCCTCACTCTCCCCTCACTCTCCCCTCACACTCTCTCCCCATTCTCCCCTCACACTCTCTCCCCACTCTCTCCACTCTCCCCTCACACTCTCCCCTCACTCTCCCCTCACACTCTCTCCCCATTCTCCCCTCACACTCTCCCCTCACTCTCTCCCCCCACTCTCCCCACTCTCCCCTCACACTCTCTCCCCACTCTCCCCTCACACTCTCCCCTCACTCTCTCGCTCCACTCTCCCCACTCTCCCCTCACTCTCTCCCCCCACTCTCCCCACCTTCCCCTCACTCTCTCCCCCCACTCTCCCCACTCTCTCCCCCCCACTCTCCCCACTCTCCCCTCACTCTCTCCCCACTCTCCCCTCACTCTCCCCTCACTCTCTCCCCACTCTCTCCCCACTCTCCCCCCACTCTCCCCACTCTCTCCCCCCACTCTCCCCACTCTCCCCTCACTCTCTCCCCCCACTCTCCCCACTCTCTCCCCCCACTCTCCCCACTCTCCCCTCACTCTCTCTCCCCACTCTCCCCTCACTCTCCCCTCACTCTCTCTCCCCACTCTCCCCTCACTCTCTCTCCCCATTCTCCCCTCACTCTCCCCTCACTCTCTCCCCCCACCCCCAACTCCCCCGTTCTCCCCGGGTCGTCCTGCTGGGAGTCGCGCGTCTCGGAACAGACTTGCACTATGATAGTGGTGGTAATAGTGGTGGTGGTGATAGTGGTGGTGGTGATGATAGTCGTGGTGGTGATAGTGGTGGTGGTGGTGTCATAGTAATCGTGATTCATGGGTCCCGTTACACCGAAAGCCCTCGCTTAACGCGGTGGCCGCTGTGGGTTTAGTCCGCAACAAAGACAAGACGAATATCCCCCGTGTAGCCTTAACAGACTGTAGGGGCAAGTGCTGTTAGCGAGCGCCTATAGAGGCCGGCACGGCACACGACGGGGTGGGTGGCCAGTACCACGCCCGACCGGCCTTGTCTCCCCAGTGGCGATTTTCACTACACACCGCACCTGGTACTCATTTGAGGCTGAGTCGACCTATGGGAGGCCCGGGACCGGTTCAGATGATCGTCACGCAGAGTTGGCCGTGAGCAGGAATCGAACCCGGGTCGCCAAGGTTCGTAGCGCAGTGTAGCGCTAACCACTGCTACACTACCGTTACTCCGCAACATATACACACGCACACACACAAGCCCAAGTGGTCACTAAATTGGCGGCGTTTTGTTGACGTGATAAACGTCGCTGTGTCGACTCGTGGCGATGGTGGCGGGTTTAATGACACATTTATATTTACGCAAAAAAATAATAATTATGGATAACATTGGTCGTGAAAGCCCTACAACTACGACTGCGTGTTAATACTGCGGTCGACGCATTCCTGAACGGTGTCGCGTGAAGCCAGGAATCGGCAACCTTTCGTAGAAGAAGAGACGAGAGACAAGGGACAGCCATGCGACTGTGGCCTTGCAACCCCGACGCGATTAGGCCCTGTAGGAAACCCTTACCGATACGTAGACACGTAGAGATACATAGAGCCCCACAGAGATACATACAGACGCATCGATATGCATACAGCTCCATAGAGACTCATCGAGATAGACACAAAGAGATACTTAGAGACCGATAGAGGTACATAGAGATTCATAGAGATACATAGACACAGAGAGATAGAGACCTATAGAGATAGAGTTTCATAGAGACTGACAGTGATACATAGGGTCCCACAGTGTAACACAGACACTCAGAGATATATAGCGACTCAGAGAGATGCAGAAATTCCTTGCCAACCGCGAGGGTTAGGTTCCTGAAAACGCATCGCGGTTGGCAAATCCGCGGTTGGAAGAGCAGCCTGTGGGAAATAGGGAGTCAGACTCGTTATCATAGTTGAACTAAACACCGAATAAAATACAGCACGTTCCATCACAACATAATAAAACATACATAAACTTTACATAAACTTTACATACCTTCATACCTGTCAACCCCTTATCAGTGCCAACCTTATTACAGACCAATTCAGACCGTATTGGTCACCCCCGTACCTTTCTTTATACAGGGTGCTTAAAAAAATGTTAACACTGATATGGGACTGTCGTTTTAAATGAAAAAGTTACGGATAATACACTGTAACATGATAACAAATGTAATGTCAATAGCTTCAAAACGTCAAAGAGTCTCCACTTGTTCGCCATTATTGTCAACGCATTGCCTGGACTCTTCTCCAGGTGGTCTCCAGAACCCCGGAGGCACATTTCTTGTGGTCTTGTTGCAAAATTCCCAGAAGTTTTAACATTTTCTTTTGAAGCACCCTGTACATCTCAACATTCATCCGACAAAGTCCCATCACGAGAAAAACACAAATAGACGAAAACAATTGTTGCCCGTATTGAAAATGGCTGTGTGCCGTGCAGACCTGAAAACTCAATTTCCCTGTACAAGAATACGGGGTAGTAAACCGTAGGGGTTGACAGCTATGCACCTGAACCACGCTTGTGCTCAATGTTGCGCTGTGCGGTGCTGTACAACAAAACGGACGGGCATCTGATCGACATCAGCAGCGCAGTTAACAGAACAAAATTAATCCGCGATAGAATTAATGATAAATTATGGTCATGTTTTAGGCAATTGATCGATTTTCAACGAAATGCTTGAACATTTTCAGTGATTCTTGTCACGTGAATTCTGGATCGAAACGACCATTTGTGGATCATACACGATTTGTCGAACGAAAATGCTCACATTTGGCCGCCCTTTGACGCTGATTGGCTTATTTCTACATTAACATAATTTATTCACTGATTAATTGTATGCTGTTACAGCGCCCCGCCCGCGAAATTTTGTAATGACGTCACAATGCAATGTGTGTCACGCAACGACGTCAGAATCACGGCACGCGGATGCAGACCCCCCCCCCACCCCTTCAGAGGGTTGCCGCTGCAGAGGGGGGGGGGGGGGTGGCGCAAGCGATGTTGAAATTCCTGCTTGTTACTATCCTCAGCTGGCTGAGACCAGGCCACTGTGAGTTTGAATGGGGTCCGAGGTGGACACCCACCACCGGAGTGAAATGGCAGGTGCATTTGTTTACCGAGATGCTCGTGGTCGGTAAACGGTTGTACAGAAGTCCATCGAATCTCGCGGTTGGTAAACAGGTACATAGAATTCAATTATATTTCGCGGTTCACAAGGGATTACTGTACACAGATACTATTAGAGGTTGTATAGTAAAACCACTGTGGCCTGCTCTCCTTCAATGGAGGAGGAACAGCAAAACATGGACTCGCTCTTTCTGCTGAAGCCCTCTGGTTGTGCCAGCAGCAGCAGGACCCCCGCATTGAGCATCAAGCTCCTGAACCCCATCGCTGCTGCCACCACCAAGAGTAGAACAGAATCACACTCGCGTGTGTGTGATACACAGAGAGGGGAGTGGTAGCGTAGCGGTTAGCACTACGCTGCGCTACGAAGCCGGTAACCCGAATTCGATTCCCTTTCACGGCGAACACCAGTGATGGAGATTATCTGAATCGGTCCTGGGCCTCCCGTAGGACAACTCACCCCACAAATGAGTATTTGGTTGCGGTGTGTAGTAACCATTGCCAATGGGGAGACAAAGGCGGCAGGGCATGGTGCTGGCCACCCACCCATGCCGGCCTTCATAGGTGCTCGCTAACAGCACTTGTCCCAATAGTCTGTTAAAGGCTAGATGACAGATGCGAGTTCAGTTGACAGCGAGTTTCTCCACTGATGGAGCGGCTGCGTGATGTGTTGTCGAACCTCCAATGTTATAATCACAGCCGTCATTATTTACTTTCATAATCACTGCATTTTAAGCAATGGGTGTCCTCCCTACAATCACGTCCACACTCCCCCAAGCATTACGATCGATATACCGTCCCCAACTCCTCAGCCATCGCCGTTCTGCCTCTTTTGCACTGTAAACGGTGGCTAGATTTTATCTCCCTCGCCTGGTATACAGGAGGTCGTGGGTTCTAATCCGACCATGACACCTGCCGTATATTTGAAGTTTTCATGTTTCTCTCCGTTCCCTCCGCATTTAGAAACGTGCGTTTAGATTATTTGGCTGCTATACATGTCCACGTGATAAGCCACTTCGGTGAGCTATCGTTTGTGGCCAGGTCACTTCTGAAAAATAGCTTTACAGCTCAGTGGGGCCTTACCTGGTAAAATAAAATAAGACATTACTCTTTGGTTCTTTCGGATCCTTGCAGTCACGAAAACTTCAAATCTAGAATGAAAAATAAGACATTGTTTAGTTTAATCGTAAACGAGCGGTCTGCTGGTGCCCAAATAGAAACCCGGTTTCCCACAACTCTCAGGTCTCTCAATGCTTTTGTGTGGAATTTAATCTGTCGCTCTCTCTCGTACAAGAGGCAAGGGAACTCTCACGTCTTCATTTTGTCTGCATAATGTGGCAGCTACTTTGTCTCGTGGACGCCATTTTGTCTGTGTGATGTGGCCGCCATGTTGTTCATCTCAAATGGCTGTGACCGTACACATGCCGCTGTACAACATCTGGGAAATTCAAATGCATTAAAGCTTGCTTTTTACAAAAAACTGACATTGCTTCTCAACGAGTCTCTCTAAACGTACATACATTTTCATTTTATTGAATAAAGTACGAGCCCATTGCAGTGCGCTGCGAGACTCGTTCGATCCGACGACATAATTAGCAACTGGACCATTTATTAGGAGTGGGCCAGCGGTCTCCTAGGCAAAGGAGACTGTAGTTCTCAATTACAATATGA